AATACTTCAATTCACCAACTTCACAATTTTTCACGAAATTACAATAATAAAATAAGCAATTATAGAAGTGAAATTAGATATAGATTGAGAGAGATTGAGATAGATTGATGAATTGGTGAGTAAAAATGAAAGAATGAGGGGGTATTTATAGTTGAGAATTGGGGAAAAGTGTAATTATATAAAGTTTGGGGGCCAATATAAAGTTTGGGGGCCAAATGGCTATTTTTTAAAATTCCAAACGGTTGAAAATTAAAGGCCAACGGCTAGATTTTAAAATCTGACCGTTGGCTATTTTTTAAAAAAAAAATTTTTTTTTTTTTAAAAATTAGCCGTTGGAGCCCGTTAGGACCGCTAGGCCCGGTTGAACCGGCCCAGGACCGCCTGCCGGTCCCGGGCTTAGCGGTCCCGGTCTCGTGGGCTACACGAGCAAGACCGGCCCGTCACGGGCTTCTTACCCATTAAGGGACCGGCCCACCAGGACCGGCCCGCCGGGACCGTTTAGCCCGTTAGGACCGCGGGCCCGGTCCGGTCCCGGTCCCAGACCGGCCCACCAACAGCCTTAATCTATATCTATATCTATACTAGTCTCTATATACGTGCGTTGCACGTAAATCTTCTATCAAATATTTATATGAGCAATAAATTAAATATATTACATTGTAATGTAATTTACATGGATAAAGTTCAACAATTTAAATACTAAAAATTAATATTATTGCGGTATATAATACTTGAATTTAAAATGATTCCACACCGATTGAATTCACAAAGACTATCGATTTAGCTAAATTAGATAGTATTTGTTTTTGTAGCACATAGATGTACAACTTTGTCATATTTTGCCTATTTCTTTGTGAACAGTATCTTGGTGTATGTTCATTTAATTTTATGCCAAGGTTTTTATCTTTTCTTGTGCTTTTTCTTCTAATAAATCAGAATCAGGACATGCAAATTCTTTATTCGAAGTTATTGTCCAAGTGCAATTAGTATTACACGATCACTAGTATTATGATTTCATCCTTTAGGGGTCATTCCTTTTAAAATTAATTTAGCTTTCAAAGAGTATAAAAGTCGAGTAATATTTTGGGGATATTTTCGTCGTCCAATATTTAGTGTTCTAACATTCGTGCTTTTATAATAACTAGTCTTTGAGTACGCGCGTTGCGCATGTATTTCATTTCATAAAGTATAGTTTTTTTTAAAAACTAACATTAATATTACTTTATAATTAGTGTTTGATTTATATAAGAAAAGTAAACAAAAAAAAATATAAAATCATGAAAATGATGATTTGGCGTTCCTATTCAACTAACTCAGGAAGAAGCTTTGCCCTATAAAAGTCCTCAAAATTCTAATTTTTGTACTGCAAAAAATATAAATTATTAATCATATCTTATCCAACATAAAAAGCACTTAGGAAGAGTGAAAAAAGTCGATCAACATTCATGTTAAAATTTTATGTTTTTATAATAGTATAGATAATAAACATTGTAGATAGATTATATTCGTTTATCAAAAAATTTAATGCAGATAATGATTCTTAAATCACATCTTATTAAAATTATAGTAAAATTTAATTAGTTAAATCTAAAATTCTAAATATTAGATAAAATCTTAAATCTGCATATAATATGTTAACATAATTGGTGAAAGAATAATTTGGTTTTTTAAAGGTATAAATTGGATATGTCGATCAACTTCATTTCTGTAAGAATTAATAACTTCATGTAAATTACTGCCACGACGCGAATTTTTCACTGTCGGGACCGTGATGGCGCCTAACATCGCACTCGCTAGGCAAGCCAACGTTAGAGAATTGTTCACCTTTTTCCCTTTACTTGTTATAATTAAAACTAAGCGAAGCTAAATCAACAGAATTAAACGCGGAAGTACATAATTAACCGATCATCTTTATACTATTAACAGAAAAACCGAAACAGTTACCACCCAGAAACTGGTGTCACAACTCACGAACTTTCTACATATTACTACAAATGCTGGTCGAAAGAAAAGAATACATCTGTCTCGAAAGTAAATAAAACAGAGACATGGAATGTAGGAGGGGATGCCAGGGCCTGCGGATGCCTGCAGGACTACCTTGGGTCTCCTGACTGAAGTATCAGCAACCGGCCTCTCGATCAGCCACTACCAGCTCCGAAATATGCACAAAAAGTGTAGTGCAGTATCAATACAACCGACCCCATGTACTGTTAAGTGCCGAGCCTAACCTCGACGAAGTAGTGACGAGGCTACGGCGGGGCATAAACAATATATCCTGAAACAGTTTATAATAAAGCAAGAAGAAAATACGGAATGAAATAGGACAGCAACTTGCATTAAATAAATACTGAACCCAGTCGTTCTACCAATACTCAACTATAACCAATCCTTAATAGAGTTTCAACACCACAATAATGAATCTCAGCAGAAGAAGAATACATAAACAACAATTGATGTGGCGTGCATCCCGATCCCACCATACAATATGAACATTCACTGTTATTACTCCTTGTTGCGGCATGCAACCCGATCCCACCAGTCCACCCTTATTACTCCTCAATATATCACCCTTATTCCTCTTGTTGCGGCGTGCAACCCGATCCCACCTGTCCACCCTTGTTACTCCTTGTTGCGGCGCGCAATCCGATCCCACCAGATAATCACATTTCACCCTTATTCTTCCTGTTGCAGCGTGCAACCCAATCCCACCACATCAGTACCAATCACAAAATAAGAACAAGTATTTCCCAAGTTAACTCAAATCCTCCACAACATTTATACCTCAAACCAAAACAACGGAAGATCACTACAATTATGAAACTTCATCGGTTAATACTACACAGCGAGGCCAACCAAAGTGTAACATGAAGCACCAATAAACCAACGTAAACCAACAGTGTGATATAATGAAACTACGAAACAATTAATAACGTCAATAGAGAAAACAACATTTAACAAGAAGCAATTAGACATGAAAACATCAATAAGCAAGTAGCAGTTAAGACAGGAAAGCAATATATTAGGAAACGGGGAAGGGAACAGGCTAAACAGACAATTTGGCGGCGCATAGGTACTCGTCACCATACCTATACGCCACACACATGGAATTTCACATAGCAATTAAGTCGGGGATCCCTGATTCCTCGAGTCAAGGTTAGACCAAATACTTACCTCAAGCCAACGAGTATTTCAAAGCTCAATTACCGCTTTACCTCTCGATTCCACCTCCAATCCACTCGTATCTAGTCATAATTAACTTAATAACATCAATTAACGCTAAAGAAATCTTTTTCAATGCATAATTATAGATTCCCCAATATTTTTCCCAAAAAGTCAAAAATCAGGCCCGTGCCCGCTTGGTCAAAACCCGAAATTCGGACCAAAACCCGATTACCCATTGACCCCCGAGCCCGGATATACAATTGATTTTGGAATTCAACCTTAATGTGTGGTCTAAATCCCCAAATTTCGAAATTCTTAAGTTCTACCCAAAAACACCCAATTCCACCATGAAAAACCTTAGATTCTAAGATGAAATCTTGTAAAAAGATGAAATAGATTGAAAGAAATGAGTTAAGAATCATCTACCTATGATTTGGGGAAGAACTTGCCCTAGGAAAATCGCCTCTAGGGTTCTAGGATTTGAAAAATGTTGAGAATGGGAGAAAATCCCGTCTAACTTATGTTTTGAACAGCTGCAGATGTCGCATTTGCGACCTGAGCTTTGCAAATGAGAAGCTCGCAAATGCGAATTTCCCCACACTTCTGCTGCCTTCGCAATTGCGAAAGTATGTTCGCAATTGCGAACCTGATCCTCCGCAAATGCGATGAAATGATCGCAATTACGATCCCTGTCCTTCCCAGTTTTACTTCGCAAATGCGAAGAAATCTTCGCAATTGCGAAGACTGCTTGGCCCAGCCGTCCTTCGCATTTGCAATGAAGTCCTCGAAAATGCGACCTCCACAGTGATAGCAAATGCGAACTCTGACCTCGCATTTGCGAGGTCTGAGGCCTGCAACACAGATGAAGCATACCAGTTGTTTTCTAAGTTATAAATCAATTCTCACCCGAGCCCTCGGGGCTCCAAAACAAACATGCACACAAGTCTTAAAACATCATACGAACTTGCTCATGTGATCAAATCGCCAAAAATAATACCTAGAACTATGAATTTAGCACCAAATTGCATGAAATTTTCAAGATAGTTTCAAAACTTCTATTTTCTCAACCAAAGGTCCGAATCTCGTTAAATCAATTCCGTTTTTTTACCAAATTTCACAGATAAGGTTTAAATATCATAACGGACCTGTACCGGGCTCCGGAACCAAAATACGGGCCCAATACCAACAGGATCAATTCTTTTATATTGCTACATTTTCAGTCTTATCAATTTCCTTCAAAAATTTATTTCTGGGGCTAGGGTCCTCGGAATTCGATTTCGGGCATATGCCCAGGTCCCATATTTTACTACGGACGCTCCGGGACCGTCGGAATACGGGTCCGGGTCCGTTTACCCAAAACATTGATCGAAGTCAACAAAAATTAACCTTTTAGGCCAAAAATCATCATTTCTTAAATTTTTCACATAAGGGCTTTCCGGATACACGCCCGGACTGTGCACGCAAATCGAGGAGAGATAAAATGAGGTTTTCAAGGCCTCAGAAGACGGAATCGGATTCTAAAACAGAAGATGACCTTTGTGTCATCACATTCTCCACCCCTAAAACAACTGTTCGTCCTCGAACGGACATAGAAAAGTACTTGAGTCGGTGAGAAGATGGGGATATCTGCTCCGCATATCGGACTCGGACTCCCAAGTAGCCGCCTCAATAGGCTGACCTCTCCACTGCACACGACCAAAGGGTAACTCTTCGTTTTCAACTGTCGAACCTGCCGGTCTAGAATAGCTACCGGCTCCTCCTCGTAGGTCAAATCCTTGTCCAACTGGACAGTGCCGAAGTCTAACACGTGGGATGGATCGCCATGATACTTCCGAAGCATGGACACAGGAAACACTGGATGCATAGCTGATAAACCTAGCGGCAACGCAAGTCTGTAAGCCACCTCTCCCACTCGATCAAGGATCTCAAAAGGCCCGATAAACCTAGGGCTTAGTTTTCCCTTCTTCCCAAATCTCATCACGCCCTTCATGGGCGACACTCGAAGCAACACTCGCTCTCCGACCATGAATGCCACATCATGAACCTTACGGTCGGCATAACTCTTTTGCCTAGACTGAGCTGTACGAAGTCTATCCTGAATGATCTTAACCTTATCCAAGGCATCTTGCACTAGATCTGTACCCAATAACCGAGCCTCCCCCGGCTCAAACCACCCAACCGACGATCGACACCGCCTACCATATAATGCCTCATAGGGGGGCCATCTGGATGCTCGACTGATAGTTGTTGTTGTCGGCAAACTCCGCTAACGGCAAAAACTGATCCCAAGAACCTCCAAAGTCAATAACACAGGCGCGGAGCATATCCTCGAAAATCTGAATAGTACGCTCGGGCTGTCCGTCTGTCTGAGTAGGGGTGTTCATAAAAACCCGAAAAACCGAACCAAACTGAAAATCAAACCAAACCGATCAAAAAAATCGATAATTTTTGGTTTGGTTTGGTTTTGGTTTTGAATTTTAAAAACCGATCAAATTTGGTTTGGTTTTGGTTTAATCAGAAAAAAACTGAAAAAAAACCGAACCAAACCGACTATAGGAGTAGCTATTTTAAATTTATTATTACACCTATAAATATGTATATTTTTATACAAAGTTTCAAAAATTTAATGGTAAATATTAATAGTTTGCACTTTTAGTATAGTTCTTTACCTTTACATTCTAGTTTGATTGGTAGTTTTCTTTTGTTAAGTGTAAGAATCCATTTTGTGTTAAAAATAATATATTTTGAATTGAGTCCTTAAATTATTCATCACTATTTGATTCAATTATTATCAATATATCTTGGTAAATAATAGATTTCCCAAAGGGCAATTGATTTGATAGTGTTACGTTGAAAATATGGTCGCCGGAATATGTGTTTGGTAGTGTATGTCTTATATTTAAGAAAAAACCAACAAATAACCGAAAACCCCAAAAAACCAACAAAACCCGACATAAACCGAATTGAGAATAAATCGACTTAATTGGTTTGGTTTGGTTCTAATATTTGAAAAACCGACTTACTTAGTTTGGTTTCTTTTAAGGGAAAAACTGATCCAAACCGAACCATGAACACCCATACATCTGAGGATGAAATGATGTGCTCAACTCGACCCGCGTACCCAACTCACGCTGCACTACCCTCCAGAATTGTGAGGTAAACTGCGTACCTTGATCAAAACTGATAGACACGGGCACACCATGAAGACGAACGATCTCACGGATATAGATCTCCGCCAACCGCTCCGAAGAATAGGAAACCGCCATAGGAATGAAATGCCCTGACTTAGTCAGCCTATCTATAATAACTCGTACTGCATCGAACTTCCTATGAGTCCATGGGAGTCCAACAACGAAATCCATAGTGATACGCTCCCACTTCCACTCAGGAATCTCAATCTTCTGAAGCAAACCACCAGGTCTCTGATGCTCGTACTTTACCTGTTGACAATTCAAACACCGAGCTACATATACAACAATATCCTTCTTCATCCTCCTCCTCCAATAATGCTGCCGCAAGTCCTGATACATCTTAGCAGCACCCGGATGAATAGAATACCAGGAACTATGGGCCTCCTCTAGAATCAACTCACGAAGTCCATCCACATCAGGCACACAAACTCGACCCTGCATCCTCAAAAATCCGTCATCTCCAACTGTAACCTGCTTGGCATCTCCGTGCCGCACTGTGTCCCTAAGGACAGGCAAATGAGGGTCATTATACTGTCGATCTCTGATACGCTCAAATAATGAAGATCAAGCGACTATACAAGCTAGAACATGGGTGGGCTCAGAAACATCCAACCTCACGAACTGATTCGCCAAAGCCTGAACATCCAAAGCAAGCGATCTCTCACCGACTGGAATATACGCAAGGCTACCCGTACTAGCCGACTTCCTACTCAAAGCACCGTCCACCATATTGGCCTTCCCGGGATGATACAAGATGGTGATATCATAGTCTTTAAATAGCTCCAACCACCTTCTCTGCCTCAAATTGAGCTCCTTCTGCTTGAACAAATACTGTAAACTCTTATGATCCGTGAACACCTCACACGACACGCCATATAAATAATGCCTCCAAATCTTCAGCGCGTGAACTCTAAGTCATGAACTGGATAATTCTTCTCGTGAATCTTCAACTGCCGCAAAGCATATGCAATAACCTTACCATTCTGCATCAACATCACACCAAGTCCAATACGAGATGCGTCACAATATACCATATATGGCCCTGAACCTGTGGGCAACACCAACACCGGCGCCGTAGTCAAAGCTGTCTTGAGCTTCTGAAAGCTCGCCTCACACTCGTCCGACCACCTGAATGGGGCACTCTTCTGGGCCAACCTAGTCATCGGGGCTGCTATGGATGAAAACCCCTCCCCAAACCAACGGTAATAACCCGCCAAACCCAAGAAACTCTGGATCTCTGTAGCTGATGTGGGTCTAGGCTAGTCCTTGACTGCCTCAATCTTCTTAGGATCCACCTGAATACCCTCTGTTGATACAACATGACCCAAGAAAGCAACTGAACTCAACCAAAATTCACATTTCGAAAACTTAGCATATAACTGGCTGTCTCTCAGAGTCTGAAGAACGATCCGAAGATGCTGTTCATGCTTCTCTCGGCTGCGGGAGTAGATCAAGATATCATCAATGAAAACAATCGCAAAGGAATCCAGATAGGGCTTGAACACCCGGTTCATCAAATCCATGAATTTCGCCGGGGCATTTGTCAAGCCAAATGACATCACTAGAAACTCATAATGCCCATACTGAGTGCAAAAGGCTGTCTTAGGGACATCGGATGCCCTAATCCTCAACTGATGGTAGCCAGATCGTACATCAATCTTCGAAAACACCTTGGCGCCCTGAAGCTGATCAAATAAGTCATCAATCCTCAGCAATGGATACTTGTTCTTGATGGTGACTTTGTTCAACAGCCGATAATCTATGCATATCCTCATCGATCCACCCTTCTTCTTAACAAACAACACCGACGCACCCCAGGGAGAGACACTAGGTCTAATAAAGCCCTTATCAAGCAAATCTTGCAACTGTTCCTTCAATTCTTTCAACTCTGGCGGGGCCATACGGTACAACGGAATAGAAATGGGTTGAGTGCCCAGAGCCAAATCAATGCAAAAGTCAATATCCCTGTCGGGTGGCATCCCCGACAGGTCTGTAGGAAAAACCTCTGGGAACTCCCGAACCACTTGTACAGAATCCATGGGAGGAACCTCCGCACTAGAATCACGAACATAAGCCAAGTAAACCAAACACCCCTTCTCGACCATACGCCGAGCCTTCATATAAGAAATAACCCTGCTGCTAGAATGACTAGGAGTCCCTCTCCACTCTAATCGAGGTAACCCCGGCAATGCTAAGGTCACGGTCTTGACGTGACAGTCCAGTATAGCTGATAAGGAGACAACCAATCCATTCCCAAGATGACATCGAAATCCACCATATCGAGAAGTAGGAGATCAACACTAGTCTCAAGACCCCCAGTAATAACCACACACGAGCGATAGACACGATCTACAACAATAGAATCCCATACTGGTGTGGACACATACACGGGAGCACTCAAAGAATCACGAGGCACAACCAAATATGAAGCAAAATAAGATGACACATAGGAGTATGTAGACCCTGGATCAAATAGAACTGAAGCAGCTCTACTACAAACCAAAACAGTACCTGTGATAACTACATCGAAAGACTCAGCCTCAGGCCTGGCTGGGAAAGCATAACATCAGGGCTGGGCCCCACCACCCTGAACCATATCCCTGGGATGACCTCTTGCTGACTGGCCTCCGCCTCTAGCGGCCTGGCCTCCACCTCTAACGGCCTGACCTCCACCTCTAGCGGGCTAACCCCTACCTCTAGCTGGCTGGGCAGGCAGTGCTGGGATCATGGCAGGAGAACTGATGTTTTAGACGTTAATACGACACAAGATGGGGGGGGGGGTGATTTGTGTGGTACCTAATTTTCGCACTAGAAGAACCTGGTTCTTCTAGGTGTTCTAACTTCTGCTGTTTGCGGAATTAAAATACATAAATAAAGAACACAGAGATTTTTACGTGGAAAACACCTAGCTCAAAAGGTGAAAAAACCACGACCTACTACTCAGTAGGATTTTCCCAAACTTCCACTAAACTTCAATGAGCCAAAAACAACATTTACAAAACTCTTTGTAAACCTAAGGATTAACTCTAATCCCAGTGTAGCACACAGCCTCAACTGTTACGACACTTTCAAGTTAACTCTAACTTGAATACTCAATGCACCTAATACAATTGCTTCTAAGAAAGCTGGAAAGGTACAATGTTAAAACACCTACTACAATTGAACTAGAAATAAATAAAGACACAATAGAATTGGTTCTTCACACTTAGTTCTTGTAGCTTCAGATTTGCACACTTGTATCACACACAAATTGCTTGCAACAATCGCCTAGCTCTTTTGCTCTCAATTTGGTTTAACTTCAGCTTATGTGCAATCACCTGTAAAAGAGAACAATCGTTATATTTATAGAGTTAGTAATCAGAGTTTGATAAGAACTCGAATTGTGGATCCTTTGACAATTCGAGTCCAAGAACAACTCTAACTCCTAATCCATATTCTTGATCAGGATGTAATTCTCTTTTCATAAGGAGACTTCAACTCCTTATCCTATATGCAATCTTTTCGATCAGTTCAGAAGATATTCATCAAGATATTGCTGCTTGATCTCAAGGATTTATCTTATTCACGTGCATCTCATGTGTATGGGCCATAACAACTGTGTCTCCTTAGATGAACCTGGTCCTTTACTGAGTTCGTTTGTCATTCTTAAAAACTTCAACTGATCTTGGGCCAACATGGATGGATGCCATTTTCCTCCCTCTCTTTGGTTTCCGAAACATGAAATCAATAATAATTGCTCAATCTATCATGTCATAAATTCTTGAAGGAAAGAAATTTAACTGAATGTCCAAAACATACTATTTTGGTTAACCTTTTGCTGAGTGATTAACCAATTATTTATGTATTTTAGAATATTTATCCTCGAACTAGTTTAAGAAGTCACTTATTGGTCTGCCAATTTTGTTTAAGCATTGGGTGCATTCAGTTTTCTTATAACTAATGGGATGGAAGGTGGTAAGGAACTTTTATGGGGGGAGAAAAAAGCTAGTTTGCTTTCTATCTGACTACAGTTGAGAAATTGTAACATTGCATCTTGAAATCGTTTCTATAAACATACACTCATTATTTTTTTTCTTTATTATTGGCAGTATATTTGTTAATGAGGAGGAGGAGTTCCTACAAAACAAAAGCAGTGCAATGCTTTTTGTTGAATCAAAGGGTCATGCTATGCATGTCTTCATCAATCATGTTCTTCAAGGTCTGTATGCTATATGCCTACTTGCACGTTAGGGAAATTACACCAAAAGAAAAAAAGGAAACCCCTTTGTATATAAATTTCTTTTCCCTAGAAATAATATATTCCTTTCTGTATAAAGTGCATGTGAACCTTAAGCAATTTTGTTCATTTGTGTGTATTGCTCTTTAGCCAGTGCATCTGGAAATGGCACAGTGCCACATTTCAAGTTTGGAACTCCTATTGTTCTCAAGGCAGGGAAGAATGACATTGCCTTATTAAGCATGACTGTGGGCCTACAAGTAAGTGGCTACAACTACATTCATCTTTGCATAATGTGGTGACTGGATGCATCCCCTGGGGGCCCAAGTTGCATTATAATTGGGAGTGATCATTTTATTGAACAAGTGTAATTTTTTAGGTTTTCCAATTTTTCCAGCTTTTGTTAAAAAAGAAAAAAAAGATCAAATAGATTATTTTTTGGCCATCAGTTTCTTACATCTATGTTATACATGAGCTTCCTAGCAGAGTCTTGCAATAAAATTATGATGCAATGTCAACTTATTGCCTCCATTTGAATGTCTTGCTTGTATGTTTTCTTATTTTTTCTTTTTAATCAATTTCCAAGGAATATATGGTTGTAATAGCTTCAATTCTTAGGGTTATGATTCGTAACATGAATTCATTATGCCAAGATCAGACAATTTCAACATTTTCTTTGGTGAGGAGTGAAACATCCTTACTATTCCAAATAAAAGACTGTGAAAGAACTTTTTTTTAATCTATAATGATGGATAATGTTCAGCAATTCTCTGCAAAAAAAGAGTTATGATAACTTGTGCATTTTGGAACTTTGCAAACGTTCACATAGTACTCTTGCTGCAGTTATTGGGATGTTGAAAGAGACCAATACACTTCAAATATTGCATAACTCTTATGTATTCTAAGAGCTTGTTTGGAAAGCCACCTTGAAAATGGATTTGGGTGTAATTGGGTGTAATTACACAGTTTGGCATGTTTGTTTGGCCAAGTAATTACTTGGTCAGCATGGAATTGGGTGTAATTGGAGGGGTGTAATTACACTCTCCAATTCTCAAGGGGAGGTGAGAATTGGTGGTAATTACACTGTGTAATTGCAAGGTTGCTTTTTAGTTTCTTTCCTTTTTGTTTTTATTTTAATTTATTTTTTTATAACTTTTTATTTCTATTATTTTAATTTTTTAATTTATTTTGAAATTTTAAATTTTTTTTTGTACATTATTTATCTTTTATTTCTCTATATTTACTTCTTGTGATTCCATGTAATTGCTTATATTTTATTTTTTATTTATTTTATTATTCTATTTTTTTAAACTGCACCTCCTAATATAAGAAATAATGAGTCATTAACAAACTTGACATATAATGAGTGATGCAATTAAAGTGGAATTTCGTTGTTGAATGTGGTTATAAACTTATCATGTTTCCTAATTATTAAGTTGCACTGGAACTTACTATTATTATGTTGGAATT